TCAAGGTCAAATTTTGTAGCTTTTCACTGGTGAACATTTCGCTATGACATTATGAAGCAAAGTTGTTCGGAATTAAACAAAGAGACACACTGAGGTAAAAAGTTGAGGTCAAAGGTCAAGGTCATTAAATTCAAATGTCAAGGTCAAATTTGCATCTTTTCACTGATGAACATTTTGTTATGACATTATGAAGCAAAGTTGATCAGAATTAAACAAGGAGTCAACTGACCAAAGGTCAAGGTCAGGGTTCAAGGTCAAATTTTGTAGCTTTTCACTGGTGAACATTTCGCTATGACATTATGAAGCAAAGTTGTTCGGAATCAAACAAAGAGACACACCGAGGTATAAAGTCGAGGTCAAGGTCATTAGATTCAAAGGTCAAGGTCAAATTTGCATCTTTTCACTGATAAACATTTTGTTATGACATGATGAAGCAAAGTTGATCAGAAGTAAACAAGGTGTCAACTGACCAAAGGTCAAGGTCATTAGGTCAAAGGTCAAGGTTAAATTTTGTACCTTTTCCCTGATGAAAATTTTGTTATGACATTATGAAGCAATGTTGTTCAGAACTTAACACAGAGTCAACTGACCTTAGGTCCAGGTTACGGGGTCCAAAGGGTCAAGGTCAATTTTTGTATTTTTCACTGATGAACATTTTGTTATGATATCAAGAAGCAAAGTTGGTCGGAATTAAAGAATAAGTCAACTGACCAAAGTTCAGGGTCACTAGGTTAATGGTCAAGGTCATTTTGGTCCAAAGGTCAAAGACAAAGTGTTTCTCTGATTTTGACCCTGGCTGTTGATGTAGGAGGTATATACGGTGAAATAAAACAAATCAAAGCTAACAAATGAGTATTGCACCGGTATTTACATTTCTGTTAGCCCAGCAAATATGGAGGTGGAAGAAAACAAGACTCACATCATAGAACATGTAAAATGTATATTTTGCTTCCTTGCGATTCTTTTTTAAGTCCAAATGTCAAACGTCAAGCTCAGCTATATGGGCAGCTTGCTTTTTGAAGATTATGGGGGATATATTGCCACAAGACGGGGCCCTTACTGACCTGTCAGTGTTCGAGTTATCTCTCCATCACGAGTTGTTAAGTGGTCGGGATTCAGAATTGTACAAACAGAGGGGTTGACCCCCCATGAGGGGCTAGAGGCCTACCAAAAGGGAGTAATTTGACCATGTTGCCTAAAATGTCTTCTCTGAAACTAAATGAATCAAAATTGTAGAAGTGGAGGGGCTAACCTCCCAGGGGGCTGAGGGGTGGAGTCAAAAAGGGGTAATATGGCCATATTGATTTAAGCGACTTCTCCTCTGGAACTTAGAGATGAATATCAACCATATTGGACTGGAAGCATCCCTAGGTGGTGGGGATTCAAAATTGTACAAATGGTGGGGCTGAACCCCCAGAGGGCGAGCTGAGGGGCGGGGCCAAAAAGGTGCAATTTGGCTATAATGCTTTAAGCGACTTCTTCTCTGGAACTAAGAGATGGATATCAACCATATTTGTTTGGAAGCATCCCTAGTTGGTCGGGATTCAAAATTGTACAAATGGTGGGGCTGACCTCCCAGGGGGCTGAGGGGCGAGGCCAAAAGGGGGCAATTTGGCTTTATTGATACAAACAACTACTTCTCTAGAACTATGCACTGGATATCAACCATATTTGATCAAAAGCATTCATGGGAGGCAGGGATTAAAAATTATACAAATGGTGTGACTAACCCCCCAGGGGGCTGAGGGGTGGGGCCAAATAGGGTTATTTGGCTATATTGCTTTCAGCAAATTCTTCTCTGGAACTGAATGATGGATATCAACCATATTTGACTGGAAGCATCCTTAGGTGGTGGGGATTCCAAATTGTACAAATGGTCGGCTGACCCCCCAGGGGGCTGAGGGGCGGGGCCAAAAGCAGACAATTTGGCTATATTGCTGTAAGTGACTTCTCTGGAACTAAGCGATATATATCAACCATATTTGTTTGGAAGCATCCTTAGGTGGAGGGGATTCAAAATTGTACAAATGGTGGGGCTGACCCAAAGGGGGCTGGGGGCGGAGCCAAAAGCAGGCAATTTGGCTATATTTTTTTGCTTCAAGCGACTTCTTCTCTGGAACTAAGAGAGGATATCAACTATATTTGACTGGAAGCATCCCTAGGTGCTGGGGAAATGCTGGGCAAAAAGAGACGAATGCAGTCATGATATTAGAATTGATCATAGGGTCTGGCCACAACCTATGGACCTAGTTTCTGAGTCACAGCTTGGAAACAGTTGAGATCCCCACCCTATAACCATACATAAAATTGCTGGGCATGAAAAATCTAATACAGACATGCTACAAGGATTGGCCTTGGGGTCTGGCACATTCCCGTGGATCTTATATGGAGAATATTTTGCCATGATTGCTTAGATATCTAGGTGAACGATACAGGCCCTCTGGGCCTCTTGTAATATATACAATTACTGAGTATGAACATTTTGATACACATGAACTGGCAGGATTAGCCTAGGGAATTGGCCCTATCATTATTTTGGTTGTGTATAGGCAGCCCAGGCAGAGTACACACAAACAGGTATGATGGGCCTATTGAGATCCCCATCTTTATAGACATATTTACAATTGCTGGGCATAAATGAATGAATACAGTCATGGTACATGTATTATAATTGACCCTTGGGTCTGCCCACACCCTTTGGGACTCTGTCCTTGTGTACCAACATGGAAACCTTTGAGATCCCCGCCCTATTATAATATATACAATTACTGAGCATGGATGAAGCTTGTTTCATATTTACACAAACTTTAATGAAACTTATAGAACAATGTATACCTCACAAACAAATTACTATTCATCCAAGAGACAAACCTTGGTTCGATTCAGCATTAAGAAGTCAAATTCGTCTCCGAGACAAATTAAGACAAAAACCCAAATCTACTCATACCTCCAGATTTTATAATATGTACAAAGCAGCACGGAACAAAGTGTGTAATATGAAAAAACTTGCTATTTCAAACTATTATAATAATATAGAGTGTAAAATTACCGATGCATCTATCAACAACCAGAAACTTTACTGGAAATTGTTTAAACAGTTTATATCACACAAGTCATCATCTTCATCATCAGAAATTCCTCCAGTATCCACAAATACTGATGTCAGCTGATCATCGATCTCATACTTGGACTCTGATAAGGTTAATGCTCTAAACAAATTTTTTGTATCAATATCAACAATAGAAGAACCTAATACTGTTCTAAATCCGTTTCCACAACCAACTTTCTCTCTTACAGATATTCATATAGATCAGAATGAGGTTGAAGATGTTTTAAAAGCTCTTGATATAGATAAAGCTGTTGGTCCAGACTCAATTAATAATAGGATGCTAAAAAATACAGCTTCCTCTGTCTGTAAACCTTTGTGTATCCTCTTTAACAGATCTCTTTCAGAAAACTGCTTCCCTAGTACATGGAAATTAGCAAATGTTGTACCTTTATTTAAGAAAGATAATCCCAGTATGGTTTCAAACTATAGAACAATATCTCTGCTAATTAGTTGTATCAGTAAGGTGTTGGAACGTTTAGTTTTTAAGAGTATTTATAACTTCTTTCACACCAATAATTTATTTTACAAATACCAATCAGGGTTCTTACCAGGCCACTCCACTGTATTCCAACTTTTTGAAATCTACCATAGTATTGTCTCTGCTCTGGACAACCAACAAGACTGTTGTTAAGTCTTTTGTGATCTATCCAAAGCCTTTGATAGGGTATGGCATAGGGGATTGGTGTACAAATTAGAAAAATATGGTGTAACAGGTAATATTTTGAATTGGTTAAAAAGTTACTTATTAGATATAAAACAAAGAGTTGTTTATAGATCCTGTCAATCAAACTCACTTAACCTTTCAGCAGGAGTGCCCCAGGGGTCAGTACTGGGACCTCTCTTATTTCTTATATATGTAAATGATGTTGCTGAAAATATGATAAGTATAAGCAGATTATTCGCTGATGACACATATCCTTGGGTAAATCATCTGCAACCACTGGAGAGATAGAAACTTGTATAAATCATGATTTATCTATTTTGGAAAATTGGTCAAAGAAATGGTTAATGAAATTCAATGCAGAAAAACCAAATATGATCTTTATTTCAAAAAGACGAAATACTACATTACCTGATATTGTATTTCAAAACATTCCTTTACCATTCGTTCAACATCATAAACATCTAGGTCTTTATTTCTCCAGTGATGGCAGATGGTCATACCATATTGACTGTATTGCCAAGTCAGCATACAAAAAAATAGTATTACTCAAAAAACCTAAATATTCAGTGTCTAGATATTCTTTATCTGTTCTTTATAAAATATTCGTCCCTTATTGGAGTACGCATTGTTTGTCTGGGATGGGTGTTCTCAACAAGACTCTGAAAATCTTGAGAAAGTTCAGTTACTTGCAGCTCGAGTAGTTATACTGGCCTACCTGTAGACACATCAAGAGAATCACTTTACTTTGAGACAGGATGGGAACTTTTATCCGAAAGTCATAAACATATTAAGCTATCAACCCTTTTCAAAAGAAAAAATAATATGACACCAAATTATCTGGTAGAACTCCTTCCTATAGTTTCCGTTCTGAAACATCAACATATGCTACTCGTAACCAAGACGATTTCACTATCCCACGATGTAGGACAGAACTTTTTAGAAAATCATTTATACCTTCATCTGTAACACAATGGAATTCCCTCAACTCCTGGATAAAGTCAACCCATTCTCTTGTTGCATTTAAAAACTGTTTAAAACATGATATTGATTCTATTCCAAATTTTTTAACAGTAGGAGATAGAAAATTTACAATTTTACACGCTAGACTTAGGAACGAATGCAGCACTGTACAATATGACCTTTATAGAGTTAACCTCAGCAATAGCCCTTTATGTTTATGTGGGGCAGTAGAAAATGTACATCACTATTTCTATACATGTCCAAATTACTCAACTGTAAGAAATCACCTGGTAAGAAATCTTAGGAACTTAAATCTTCCAGAGATCCTCAAAACAGACATAAACACACTTCTCCGGGGAAATCATGATCTCACTTTCGAACAAAACAGTAAAACCTTTACCTATGTGTGTAAGTACATTAAGGATACAAACCGCTAATCTAGTAATCTTAATTACAACTATTACATCATGTTCGAAGAATATATTTTCTTTATCTGTGTGAAAACCTCGGTTAACTCTCTTATGAGTAGGTCGGGGTACAGAGAAACAGTCGTCAACAACCTATTTTGTTAATTCAACTTAAATTAAAATCAAATAAAATGAAATGTACATGTCAAGACAGCCAATATGTATGCAAAATGTATTTAAGTTAGGAGAGGGCTTAATTAAGTTGTAAGAACTTGTACCCAATCCTTTTTGTCATTTTCAAGGCAATAAAAATATGTTTAAACTGAGCATGAACATTTTGATACACATATAGTGGCAGGATTGGCCTAGGGAATTGGCCCTATCATTTATATCTTATTTGCTATACTACTTTCATTGAGAGTCTTTGGCCATGATTGCTTAATATCCAGTTGCTCTTGTTATTTTGGTTGGCTACATGTAGGCAGCCCAGGAAGAGTATGAACGGACAGGTATGATGGGACTTAGGAAGAAATACTCGCAGAATCTTGAGTTACTCAAGGTTGACAGAATCATTGTTGTGGCCTCAGCGAGACAGACCATTCCAGAAAATCTCATTAGATGTATCATGTCAGCTGCCAATCCTGTTGGAGCTAAAGCCGGAAAAGGAAAAATGAGTAAGTTTGTTAGCAACAGATTTGTTGGTTTTATGGCCAAAACACCTTTATGAAGAAAGCAATCCCTCCTCCCATCGGTAAAGTGACACCCCATCTCTATAACTTATAGTTTTCTGTTGCTCTTTTTCTGATCCCATTACACAAATGTTATGGCAATATTTCTTAAAAATTTGGATTTCACATCACCTGTGGTATATGAAAGCACCCTAACTCCTCATACCCATCCATTTCCCTACCATTAACCCTAGTTACATTACCCCCATCCATTTCCCAACCATTGACCCTAGTTACCCCCACCCCCGTTGATTTCCTTTTCATTGACGCTAGTTTTCCCAACCCCCATCTGTTTCCCTACCATTGACCCTAGTTAACCCCCCATTCCAATCTATTTCCCCACTATTGACCCTAGTTACTCCAGCAACAACAACAACTTATTGTTTAACCTTCATATTTCCACAGCAATCCCAGTCTTTGGAATTTTGACCAAAATTGATGGAGTTGATCTTGAATCATCGGAGTTCAAGGATAGAGAGAAACAATTCCTTGAATGTTTGGGTTTGGTTGGTGCCAAACAGCGTTACGCCCGACTGTCTAATTACTGTAGTGACGTGGATGAAGCTGATGAACGCCTGGAAACGTATCTGCCAAAAATTGATGTTCCTGCCCTGAAATTCCTCAGACAGGTAGGATATAACTGTTTTTAATTATCTTGTATTCTTTCCACTGCCCCATTTGTGACTTAAACAGAATTATTTAGCAAGCCTGGCAACACAACCACCTCAGTTTGACCTTTGACCTTGACCTCGCGTTGAAATACAGGTTTCAGGAGTTGGCTACATTTGTAAGTCCTTCATGCTGTGTTGCCTGCCAAGATGGTTCTCAAAAACGTTTTGATTTTCCTTTGGATGGAAAACACAATTCTTCTTATTGCCCCATCAGGCCTTCTCAGAGGAGTCCTCTTGATCAGCCATATTGACCAAGAAACTTCTTAAAATGTTGCTGTTTATTGGGTCACTTTAGAATCCAAGATTACAATAATTGTTGTCTAAGAATTATCAAACTGAGCTGAAGTACTGTTAATATTTTATACAAGTGCTGTCTGTTACCTGTGTAAACATTAATCCTCAGGATTTGTGACTCCTGAATCAAAGTAGCGACTTATTATTAAACTCTTTTGCAGATCCTGGACCCGGTGTATGAGGTACAAGCTGGACACGAAATATATACCGACGTGGAGAAGACGCGTAAGCCCGCTAGGGAGCCAGAGACCATTCCTGAAGCTCCACCACAACCAGAAGCTAGACCTGTACCAGACCAGCCCATCAGGCCTCAAACATCCCCACCTGTACATGTCCTGCTTGTGACTTATGCAATCAAAGGAATCATTATTGCCCTTTTCGTCAATGTATGCCTAGCCCCTTCCATCTCCAGCAAGGACCTGCTGAGCATTTGTACAACCTATGACCAACATAGGTCACGGAGTCCAAATGGATTTCATGATGACCATCTGACCAATATTTGTGACAGGAAGATGGATATCATCGGGAAATCTCTGATGGGACCACTGATGCTTTTCGTTGTACTCATAGTTTTGATGGACTTCCTCCTGCCTACATTTATGAAAACATTGACTGAAAAATTCTTGCCGCCAAGACAACAGTAAGAGCAGTAATGATAAAAAAGATAAAAAGACTGGTATTTGTTTAATATGCAGTGTAGTTGTCATGTCAGGGGTAAGATACATTGTTATGAATTGTGTAGCATAATACACATACCGGTATATTGATGTTTAACTTTAAGTCCGATGTTTTTTGGAATTTTTGGAATTTTTGTATCTACTATGTATTCAGTAAGAGTGCTACTATTAACAGTTAAGTTATATAAACTGTTGCTTTCAAAAATAGTTAGACATTTTTTCTTAATCTAGTACACTTTTTTAATCATGACTAAGCTGCTTTGAGACGACCTAGGAACTAGGTTGTGATAAAACAGTATATAAGAACCTCAAATTATTATTTGGTGGTCGGATGGCGCAGTCGATAGCGCACTTACCTTTCACCAAGGCGGCCTAGGTGTGATTCCCCAATCGGACGTGAAAAGGTATGGGGTCACCTGCCGGACCACGTGGGTTTTCTCCGGGGATTCCAATTTCCTCCCTCAATAGGACTAACATTCAGGCTAACATCCGGGCCAACAAGAGTGACTAATATAAGTTGTAAAAAATTGTTTCATAATTGTTGTAAATTAATAAGGTTAATGTTTTTTTAGGTCACCTGAGCTTTAGCTCAAGTGACCTATTGCTATCCGTCTTCGTCCGTCGTCGTCAAAAGCTTAATGTCCCGACAATGGGTTTTTATGAATTGTTTGCTTTACATTAAATGTGAGTATACTATTCCAAATATTTTGTTGTCATTTAAAACACTTTCATTTGATGACTTTATGTCTGTGCTTACTTATTTGTCATCACTTTCACAAACGTTTTACTTTTGACAGGAAATATTATCATATGGGGAACATCTGTCAACAATTTTTTTTCTACAGAGAAGCCTGCTTTTTCATGAAACTTCCAAGTTGGAAATTGATCGAAATCCAAGCATACTAAATACACAATTGTTGACAATTTCTGTATCATAATTTCATGGAGAAGAAAGAATGCAGCGGTCAGACCTGGGTTCGAACCTAGGACCCTACAGGCACAGGTACTAGCATCGTCTGTCAATATATAGTGTGTGTGGGGGGGNTATATAGTGGGGGGGGGGTCCATAATTAAGGCTATTGTATGTACTCTGAGCTCTAGATGGATGTTCTATCCATTGATCTGGCTACCTGCTCGCCGACAATCGACCCAGTCAAAATCCTGTACAAAGAAATAAAGAATGTAACAATGTACCTTGTATTGAAAAGTTCAAGCATATGTTAAGGGGCATATATAGTCAGGTAGAGTCAGGTGAGCTTCCATTGACTGACATGCTGTAAAAAATAACAAGAGGCTCATGGGGCCTGTATTCCTCACCTGGATCTTTATGTTCAACAACTGTATTGATGGCTATGGGTTTGGGATCTCAAACATTTCAAAGTTAGGACCCAAGAATTAAGTACTTAGGGTTAGGGCCAGACCCAAGGATCAATCCTAATAGGGGGGGGGGGGGGGGGGGGGATCTCAACTGTTTCAAAGTCATAGCTCAGAAATTATGACCCCAATTCTTATTTATTATCATGATTGTATTTGTTTCTTGATGCTCAGTATACATGGTTATAGGGTGGGAATCTTGATAATGTCAAAGTTAAAAAATCCTTTTTTGCCCTGCCCCTCAGATCTGGGGGTCAGCCCTTAAACTGGTACAATTTTAAATACTCAGTCACCAATTATAAGGATGCTTAATTTCAACCAAATACATGTATGATTGATATCTTTGTCTTAGTTTCAGAAAAGAAATCCCTTAAAACAATAGGGCTAATTTACCCCCTTTTGGCTCCTTGGAGGGTGCAGTCCTTCATTTGTACATTTATTAATCCCCACCATCTAATAATGCTTTGAACACCAACCAAATATAGTTGATAAATCCCCTCTTTATTTCTGATAAGAAGTTGCTTGAAGAAAAATTGCCAATTACCACTGTTAGACCTTGCCCCTCTGCCCCCTGGGGTGACAGTCCCTTCATCTGTACCCTTTTATTAAATACCCAGCATCTAATTAAGGATGCTTCTAACAATAATCATCTGTGATCCTAATTCTCTTAAGTTCAGTCAGAGAGAAGAAGTCGCTAAAAGCAATACATGTATTGCCAAACTACCTCATTATGGCCCCACACTTCAGCCCCCTGGGGGTCAGCCCCTCCATTTGTACAATTTTGATTCTCCACTACCTATAAGTGGGGATGCTTCCATTCAAATTAAGTAAAATTCCAATCAGTAGTATGAAGATTAAGAAGCCGTTTGAAAAAAAGTTGTTGATGGGACGGACGATGGATGATAAGACGACGTACGACAAGACGACGTACGACAAATAACGAAAGGAAGCCACAATTGATATGACAATAGCTGTCCTTCGGACAAGGTGTATATGGTTTGAAAACCAAAAAATTCCTTGTATACAATATGGTTATCATTTAAAATAATTAATAAACAATATTTACTATACTTACCGGTAAAAATTCGTCCTCCTATAGTAATTTTCGTTCGTCAACTCTTTGGTTCTGTCTCGACTTAACGTCAGCTGGCTACAGGTTAATGAATGACAACACGCGTACGTTTTATAAAGTTCTACAATTTATTAGCCCACTATCATCTGATGGTGGGCTATTCAAATCACACTGCGTCCGTGGTCCGTGGTCCGTCGTCCGCCGTCCGTTGTCCGTCATCCGTCCTTAAACAATTCTTGTTATCAGTCTTTCTCCAGAAGTACCAGAGGGTTCTTTCTCAAATTTTATATGTAGGTTCCCCTTGGTCCTTAGCTGTGCAGGGCAACTTTTGAGACTGATCGGATAAACAACATGGCCGACAGGCAGCCATCTTGGATTTTGATAATGAAAGTTTGTTATCGCTATTTCTCAAGAAGTGCCAGAAGGATCTCTTTCAAATTTTATATGTAGGTTCCCCTTGGTCCTGAGCTGTCCAGGGCATTTTATTGAGACTAATCATAAAAACAAAATGGATTAAAAGAAGAACTAAACAGATCTTTGTCATATTGCAATGATCGATTCTATTTCTTTCACATTAAGTACTGTACTAGTAAATATGTGAAATGACAAACTCACTTTGAAGGTTGGCTTTCATACACATCAGTATTAAGTTTAGATAAAAAGTTACCTCAAGATGCATTTACTGTTAACATGACTCGATCAAACAGATTAGAGGAAAGAAGAGAAAAGATTGAACTGACAAAGAACTAATGAAGATAGTACAAAGGTGGGCGCCAAGATCCCTCTGGGATCTCTTGTTTTGTACAAAATGAAACAGTGAAGTAAATTAGATGAAACATGATAAATAGTTATGCACAATGCTACAGAACGTCAACCACTCGACCGGGCCATACCAAAAACAGTATATACGTCAACAACTCGACCGGCCCATACTAAAAACAGTATATTCGTCAACCACTCGACCAGCCCATACTAAAAACATTATATACGTCAACCACTCGACCAGCCCATACTAAAAACATTATATACGTCAACCACTCGCCCAGCCCATACTAAAAACAGTATATACGTCAACCACTCGACCGGCCCATACTAAAAACAGTATATTCGTCAACCACTCGACCAGCCCATACTAAAAATAGTATATCCGTTTAACATCATGTCCTCTCGAAAATGTCCACCCAGTATCCAACCCCGGGGAATAAGTTTAAACACACCCTGATAGTATATTACAACGTGCCTTCAGCGGGAAAATAACCATCCAAATAAACGCTTAGATAATTCTACCAAAACATGCCTACAATGGGGAAATACCACCCAGCCCGGGATAATTTTGAGGTCTAAGGCCGATATACACTCCTACATACCTGCCCGGAATAATTTTGAGGTTTAAGGCCGAAATACACTCCTACATACCTGCCCGGAAGAAGGGAGAAGACGACCCGGTCAGCTACATGTAACCCTCTGCCAGACTGATTTACAATACCAAATCACCCAGCTACACTGTATGACTGACACTGGATATAGCTAGTACCGAGAGGCGGCATGGAATCTGGTCGTTGACAAATCACGTTAAGTTTTCTGATATTTCTTGTATTTTCTGGTAGTGTAGAGACAAATAAAAGAGGCACGACAGTCAAGCATAGACGTAATTCATTTCTGAAACAGGTGGCATGAATTTTTTGATGTAGTTGCAAATTATTTACAAAAACAGTCTGCCTAGTACCACTAAATCTTCATTCGCAACAGCAAATATTGTCTTGACCTGACATTTGCCAGTGGATTATATACATTTATATGCTAAGATGATTTCTGATAGTTATATAGTCATGATAATACATGGAGTCCCTCTATATTGTGCTTCTTTCTTTAGATATTTGTATAACTAATTTCAGCGAAGTGTACGGCGAATAGAAAAAACATTGTACGGCGAATAGGAATTTTCAAAATAACTGGTGTACGGCGAATAAATTTGTAGGTCATATAGTATACAGACTTCAAGTGAACACTTTGCCTAAATGCGATATATTTTGTTAAAGCTAAACTTAAACTAACGTTCCCCCGATTACCGTAAATCTCCTACAGTGTAAAATGCATGCACCTTCTCGTATGTAAGTTGTATACCACCAAAGATTACAAGAAAAAACAATGCACTCAATACAGTTGTTCAGGTAAGTCAGTGTGATAACCACTAGTCTACCTGTGCTGTTGGCTAAAATGATAGTTGTGTGTCTGTTTTTCAGCCCCCAAAATATTAGGGTTGCAGACTTTTTTTTTTAAAGTAACAAATATAAAACAAGAGTTTCAGACCATAATTTAAAAGTGCTTATTAAAAGTTGATGGAAATAAAGTTAGAATAGACTTTAAAATCTTGAGTAGGAATAAAACTGAGTTTTCCCATTGCCTGTTAAAGGTATACATATTTAACACTTTCAGACTTCTTTATTGCCTTTACCACTTTGCTGTTTACAGATAACTGTGAATAAATTGAGGATATATCAACTTAAATATCGTTTATGTTTATGGCAAATCTAGGATTTTCTCTACATCATCATTACAATTTCTTGTGTAACCCATCCCCCTTTTATATTAACGTTGTGAAAGGGAAAGAGTATGTCACCTTCTACATAAGTTCCAACTGTCCCACTCTATTGTCAAGGTCACATCTTAAGTTCCAACTGTCCCACTCTATTGTCAAGGTCACAGCTTAATGTAAGTTCTAATCCTCCACCCCTATTATCAAGGTCACAGCTTAAGTTCCAATTATACATCCTTATTGTCAAGGTCACATATAAAGTTCCAACTCTCCACCCCTATTGTCGATGTCACAGCTAAATTTCCAAAAATACATCGCTATTGTCAAGGTCACAGCTGATGTTGTGTAATTATAGCATGTGAAAAATGGGTAATCCTTATCATCATTTAACTTGACATTCATTAGACTTTCGACATTCTTTATCCCTTCCCTTACGATATCATTCAAAAGTGTTACAAAGCAACATCATTGGTATGTTACTCCAATTATGGTATAACAACATAAAAAAAACGTAGCTAGTACAAATGCTTGCATGGTTATGTTAGTATAGCTATTCGCGGTACTGTTACAAAATGTAACATGCTAGCTGCCGTACACTTGAAAATGTATCAACAACTATTCGCCGTACAGAGACGAAAAAACATTTAAGTCAATTACATCATAATGACTACATTTAGATGTATGACCATTATATGTTTATCCCGGTCTCATCTACATATGCCAATGACGCCCATTTCATCATCGTATATGTCATACTTTAACAGTTATCTCTTCTTCTTTCTTTGTAAATGATTTTGTACCAGTACTTTGTAGTCATTTTTTACCAATAGCTTAAGATCGCATGAAATAGTTTACAAATCGTCTGCATCACATACATCATAGTTCATTGTATAACTGTTGTGCTCCTTTATTTGTCTCTACACTACCAGAAAATACCAGAATAATCGGAAAATATCCTGTGACTTGTCTGCGCCTAGCTTCCATGCCCGCTTCGGTACTAGCTATATCCGGTGTCAGTCGATCGTCATACACAGATCTAGATAGCCAAATTGAATTGTATGCCTTCAAATGCGTATCCGGTTAAAACAGCCTCACTGCAGTAACGGCCCTAGTGAAAACGGCCCGACCCTATATATAGTATATAGTATATAGAACTGCAAGTACTACAAGTGCATAATACAAATACATAACTTGATATTAGTTAATAAAGTTGCATGCACTTTCAAGAAATAAAGATATATACATGTACAGATAAAAATATTATAATTATGTTAATAGTTAACCCTCCTCAGTCTAAAATACCTTTGCAATGACAGTGTTTTCTGCCTCAGTATTTAATTTAATTATTTAGAGAAAATATTTTTATTTATTTTTTATTAAATAGCATTAAAAAAAGTTATAATAATAACCAATAATAACTTAGATATGGGATGAGGGTTTTTGTTGTTTTAACAGAGTACCTCAGAGTGGGTCAATTAAAACTACAGGATTGGTCAGAGGGTGTAATTTGGATGGATGTATAGCAAAATCTTCACATATCATTTGAATTTGAATGAGACTTCCAACCATGAGACCAGCATCAACGAAACGTTTAGTGTGCGGCAGTGTTATCTATGGTGACTTATATATGTCATCAAACAAAAAGACGAAAAAACCGAACAAGAGGCCCAGAGGGCCTGTATCGCTCACCTGAATATGTTTAAGATAATTGGTATGAAGTTAAGATATAGCACTCCATGGTAGGTGCTGTAAGTACAAATGAAATTTCAGAAAGATCCATCCAGTACTTGAGATATAGCGAGAACAAACTTCAAACAGAGCCCCGACCCTATGCCCCTAGGGGGGTCATACCCTCCGTTTATACAAAATTGAGACCCCTTGGCCCAAGGATGCTCATGACTAAATAAGGATAAAATCCCTTAATCCCGATGGTAGAAGAAGGATTTTAAAGGTTTTACCTCTATTTCCTATTGGGGCCCCGCCCGTCCGCCCCCTGGGAGACCACACTCACTGCTTATACAAAATTGAGTCCCCTTGGTCCAATGATGCTCCAGACTAAATTAGGATAAAATCCCTTAATCCCTTGGTAGAAGAAGGATTTTAAAAAAAAAAAAAATGCTATGTTTCCCCTATTGGGCCCCTACCCTCGGGCCCCTGGGGGGTCAGACCCATGGATTATACAAAATTAGTACCCCTTCCCCCAAGGATGCTTCAGACCAAATATGGAACAAATCCTTTTATTCCTACAGAAGAAGAAGGATTATAAAAAAAAAAAATGCTATGTTTCCCCTATTGGGCCCCCCCCCCCAAGCCCCCGGGGGGCCCGACCCCCCGTTTAAAAAAAATTGGTTCCCCTTCGCCCAAGGATGCTTCAGACTAAATATGGAATAAATCCTGTCATTCCTACAGAAGAGGAAGGATTTTTAAGAATTTGCTATATTTCCCATATAGGTCCCAGCCCCTCAGCCCCCAAGGGGGCCAACCCACCGTTTATACAAAATTGGTTTCCCTTAACCCAAGGATGCTCAATACCAAATATGGACCATCTCCTGTCATTCCTACAGAAGTAGAAGGATTTTAAAGAATAATTTTCTATGTTCCCCTATTGGGCCCCGCCCCTCAGGCCCTTGGGGGGCCAAACCCACGGTTTATACAAAACTGAGTCCCCTTGGCCCAAGGATGCTCCAGACTTAATAAGGATAAAATTCCTTAATCCCTAGGGTAGGAGAAGGATTTTGAAGGTTTTACCTCTATTTCCCCTATTCGGCCCCGGCCCTCTGCCCCAAGGGGGGACACACCCATCATTTATACAAAATTGAGTCCCCTTGGCCCAAGGATGCTCCAGACTAAATTAGGATAAACTCCCTTTATCCCTACGGTAGGAGAAGGATTTTGAAGGTTTTACCAATTTCCCCTATTCGGCCCCGCCCATCTGCCCCAAGGGGGGCCACACCCACCATTTATACAAAATTGAGTCCCCTTGGCCTAAGGATGCTCCAGACCAAATTTAGGAAAAAATCTACTTGGCCGTTCAGGACAAGTAGCGTATTAAAGGAAAATTGACGGACAGACGGACGGACGGACGGACGGACGGACGGATGGACGACGTACGCTGCGGTATGGCATAAGCTATCCATGGTCCTTCGGACCAGGTGAGGTTAAAAAAACAAAAAACGAAATAACGAAAAGACGAAAAAACGATATATAGTAAGGAACGAAATAAAGAAAAAACATACTGACGAAAAGACAAAAAAACAATGTTGGTGTTTTATTTTGGACTTCTTTGAGAATGTTTTATAAATATTATTGATTTATAAAAGTCGTTGGGTGATAATTTTCGGGTTGTGGAGGGGGGAGTTAGCGGGATTGTGGTGACTGAGGCCTCCGGACGACCAAGACCCATCATCGATCGAGAATTTTCAGCTTGGATGGTGTTCATATATATACGTCCCTTTGTACTTAGCAATTTATTTTTAAATACACATCAATGTTCATATATACACGTCCCGTTATACCACGGAATTAGATAGTCCGTGGTTATACTTAGCAATTTATTTAAATATATATCAATGTTTATATATATATAATGTACGTCCCACTTGTACTTAGCAATTTATTTAAATATACATCAATGTTCATATATGGGGCAAGGAAGTAATTCCAACAGTGTGGACAAGTTAAGGCTGTCAAATTTTCGGAACGATCCGCTCCTTTATCAAGACACAGTGAAACAGAACAGTTACATGTACATATACATCATATTACAAGAAGATAGAACTGATATACTATAATTGAAAATATAGCTATTATATAAAACCATTAGTCCCCTCGGCTAAAGACAGCCGAAGGCAGCAATTAAGCTGAGAGTTCATATATATAAACGTCCAGTTATACCACGGAATTAGAATAGATATAAATAAATGTTATCTAAGTCCGTGGTTATACTTAGCATTTTTTTTTAAATTTATAAAAATAATAACTACATGTACTTCTTAACTTTATCTGTTACAGGTTGCTAACTTAATAAATTTAAAATCCAATCAAATTGTATAACACGATTTAATAAGTAGGGCCGTTTTTACAGTGAGGCCGTTTTGACCTAAATTCGAGACATGCACGTGCAATGTAGTATTTGAACTCGACACTGTAACTGACCCATACCTGAGCGTAGTAAGGTAACATATCCCAAAAATATTAACCAATCAGAAACGTCTAAATATAATACTGTACGGAAGGGAATCCCAAACGGGAATACACCAGGTAAACAATATGGAGCCGATGATCACAACACGCACTCCGTTTTACGAAACGTAAATATATAGTAAGTGTTCAAAACCCAATCCTTTTACACTTACCTAACATTACGAAAGAATTTTGCAACAATTACAATCGCTGTTCTAAAACTGAAAAAAAGAAAAACCTCGCCAAATTCTTCTACAAATTGGTTTCGGTTCCGATTCGGTCCGTTGCTTCGGTTGTGGTGATTCCTTGCACCGGGTTTTTCCAACTACTACTTCCACTTATCATACTTCGCACTCCGTCAAATAGCAAACCGAAAGTCCCAATCAGAACACGATACCTTTTGTTGTTAGTGAGCGAATTGCTTAATAATCCGCTTAAACAAATAGTCCATAATTTACTTTTATAATGTCAAATGACAAAAATAATGTGCAATCCCGTTTTATTTTATGTTATGTTATATTCTTGTCATATTTGAAATAGTTATGAATGGGCGCTTTTTAATTCAAAGCGGATGAATACATTTTCATAGGTGTTGTATTTGGTAGACACAGACTTCGGCGATATCATATATAGACAATACCGGGAAAGGTTTGTTGACTATTCTTGACATTATCAGGTAAGGTCATGTATTTGTCAACACAGAATTTTAAGGTTTGTGCATCGTTCACATTTGAACTAGCACGAATGTTTTTTCAATGTCGGTTGTAACTTTTCGCAGCCTAATTTAAGCTATTACCTAGGAGACTGTAACATTGGTTTGCGTCAAACTCCGTCGTGAAAAAAAAGATCATTTATTTTAAACATGTGAATCATACGGTGAATTGTCATTTTTTATTAGCTGTTACCAACATTTTCTGTGGTCATATTTGATTTTGGAAGAGGATAACATCTGTAAAATGTCCAAGGTTAATAAAAAAACTGAACGTCGCACCTGTCTATTTATATATATACATGTATATGTGCTACGCGAAAACGAAAGTAGGATTCCCTGAATGACATTCGGAAGCTTTCTGGGTAAAGTTCCGAACTAGTAGACTTGCCTAAGTCTCATTTTTACTTAAACAGCTTCTCCTGAATAACCAAGAGGCCAAGGCTAATGATATTTAGCCAGTAGCATGTTGGGATAAAGGGCTACCAAGTTTGTTCAAATTAATGACCTTTGCCCATTTTCAAGGTCAGAGGGGTCAAATATGTTAAAAACCTTAAACAACTTCATCTGAATAACCTGAATGCCCAGGCTGATGATATTTGGCCATTTACATGCTGGGCAGAACCACTACCAAATTTGTTCAAATGAATGACCTTGGCCTATATTCAAGGTCACAAGGGTCAAATATGTTGAAATCTTTAAATAACCAAGAGGCCCAGGATGATGATATTTAGCCAGTAGGATGTTGGGATTAAGTGCTACCAAATTGTTCAAATGAATGACCTTTGCCTATATTCAAGGTCACAGGGGTCAAATATGTTGAAATCTTTAAACAACTTTGAATAACTAAATGGCCTAGATTGATGGTATTCGGCCAGTAGCATGCTGGGATGAAGGGCTACCAAGTTTGTTAAAATGAATGACCTTCACTTATACATGTAGTCAAGGTTACAGGGTCAAATATGTTGAAATCTTTAAACAACTTCTTCTGAAAAACAAGAAGGACAGGGATGATGATATTTGGCCAATATCATGCTGGGATGAAGCTCTACCAAGTTCTTCTTCTTCTTCTTTATATACGAGGGCTCCATCAGTTTGATGANAAGTCAAATATGTTTAAATCTTTAAACAACTCTGAATAACTAAGAGGCCTAGATTGATGGTATTCGGCCAGTAGCATGCTGGTATGAAGGGCTACCAAGTTTGTTAAAATGAGTGACCTTCACTTATACATGTAGTCAAGGTTACAGGGTCAAATATGTTGAAATCTTTAAACAACTTCTTCTGAAAAACCAGAAGGACAGGGATTGATGGTATTCGGCCAATATCATGCTGGGATGAAGCTCTACCAAGTTTGTTCAAATGAATGACCTTCGCCTATATTCAAGGTCACAGGGGTCAAATATGTTGAAATTTTTAAACAACTTCTGAAAAACCAGAAGGACAGGGATGATGATATTTGGCCAATAACATGCTGGGATGAAGCACTAACAAGTTTGTTCAAATAAATGACCTTCACCCATATTCAAGGTCACAGGGGGGTAAAATATTTTTGAACTTCCAAACAACTTCTTCTGAATTACCAATAGGTCCAGGTGATGATATTTGACCAGTAGCATGCTGGGATGAAGGGCTACCAAATTTGTTCAAATGATTGACCTTCACTCATATTCAAAGTCACAGGAGTCAATTGTCTTAAAAACCTTTAAACGACTTCTATTGTATAATCAAAAGGTCCAGGGTGATGCTATTTGACAAGAAGCATGCTGGGATGAACGGCTACCAACTTTGTTCAAATGAATGACCTTCTCCCATATTCAAGGTCACAGGGGTCATTTGTCTTAAAAACACACACAAAAAAAAGACTTCTTCTGAATAACTAAAGCATTCAGGGTGCATGATTGCTTGTTCATGTGAATGACCTTGCCATATTTTCAAGGTCACATCTGGTCCACAGTGCATAAATCTTACAAGTCATCTTCTCAGTAAACAAAAGGTATAGGGCCATTAGGATGGTGATATTTGACAAGTTCAGATTCTACAAAACAGTTAATGCTTATTTGGCATTAAAGACTGACAATGGTAAAACAGTTTATTTTACCACAACGACCTTTGTATACCTGATGCTGTTTGGTTCATCACATACAATGGTCAGTGTTATCACAATCTGTTAATTTTAACAATTTATGTATATTAACTAACTGTATGTTAAAGTACTTCTATTTTGTAATTACATCTCAAAGGAGATGGCTTTATATAAGATTTAAAATCTTGTTCCCAGATCCTTATACCTACTTACCTGTGTACTTGTTATATATTAATGTATATGACCATGTAATTAGATTATCTCCTCACACACCATGAGGAGATATCCCTTAGTTACTGCCAAGCACTGCTCATCAGATAGATATTGCATACTTGCATATACTGAAAGAGATTGATGACCCTCTTTTTAAAAAAAAAAGAGGGTCATAGCATGTGATGT